TGAACTATTTCCCTTTAGTACAGTAAACTAAAAATTTAAAAAAAAAGTAAAAACCTTATAAGAAGCTTGCACAGATCAAATTTCATTTAGTATTCATAAACAACTTGCTTTTTAAAGCGTAAAGGGAAGCTAAATGGTCAATACCTATCAAATATTATAGTTTTGATTGTTTCAGTAACTTAAAAGTTTATGTTTTTAAATATAATCAAATGGTGAAGGAAAACTGTAAGACGAACTATACTGTACAACTTTTATTCATTTACAGAATAAGCTGAACACAATTTCAAAGAGGGTAACGAAACTTGAATTAGTTTTGTAGCTTATTAGTTTTTTTTTTAAACTTCTTCAAGACGAAATCATAAAAGTTGTGATTCAGCCAATCGCTATCCTATGAATACAACAGGCGTATCGGTAAAGTCCGAGGTTTTTACTTAACGGTCTTTGGAATTAACTTTCTACGATCAGCTTCTAAAAGGCACATTATCATTACAATGATTTGTACATCTATTATGAATGTAAAACAAATTTCTATATTTAAAATTACATTGCTATATTTTAAAAGCTAATATGTATGAGAACGAATACGAATTTAAATTTTAAAATAGAGTACAGTTTCATGAAATATATTTTCTTTATTGCTTTTTGACTATCCAGTCCATCTGTCATCAGCCAATTATATTAAGCACTTGCACTGCATTTGTTACAAGGAACCAATAAGCAAGGTAGTTATTTATTCAGCCCCAACTAATTCTGACTGATAATCTTTATATTCTCTCTCTATTTTTTTTATTTTTTTTTTTACTTTTAAGTACAACTCTAAATTTCCAAATGAAATAGGCCAACTGCATATTTTGTATACATATTGTGTATGGATATAATCAAGAAATAAATGAAACTTCTATGTAGAGTTGCTTATAAAATATTTACTAATAATTACATAATATTATACTTACGAGTACATACGGGTTTTGAAATAAAAGTTAAATTAGCAAAGAAATATATTCTTATATTATGCATGACTCTATTAGCTTCAGTGATGTATGTAAACAATTATAGTAATCCAAAAAGAATGAAAGAGCATAATACAATTTTTTATGGAAAGATTTACGTTACAATCATATGTGTATACAATCATAAGATCCTGGGACCCGCAATATGTTTATGGAGATTCAAAGAAAGAGTTATAGGCAATATATCCAATATCAATCTTCTTGAGCTACAGATCCAACCATTTACGAGTTTTATTGAAAGCAAGATTTAGTCTTTCAAAGCACTTTATTTATGAGCAATAAACTAGCGCAGACTGGCAGATTGTGTTTAAACCTTCTATCATAAGAAGGGATTACGAAGTAAAATGGATGTGATTAAATATGACAACGATTCAGGAAATTATAATAATTTAAGTTTGAAACGGTCAGAGAATGAATCAATCGTATTTATTGCCATTGGTCCTTTAAAAAATACATAGGCAAAGTGAACAAATTAATTAACATGTAAACACTATACAATAACTGACAATAGTAGCATTGTGATAAAACTTTCAAAGGTGAACATAAAATAATATTAAAATCCTCAATTTGATGGTTCATCAAGTGAGTGCAATTTTTCGAAACTGTTGCCTTACTTACTTATAGTTACTAAAATAAAACTAAGTACATTATTTACTTCATATAATTTTTAGATTGTTCACATAATGTACAGTAACTTGAATCTTAATTTGGTAATTCTTTTTCATAACTGTAAAAAGGAGACATTTTTTTAAGTTAATCTATACTAAAATTTAAAACCCTTAAATAGAGAACATTTTTTAAGTAAAGTAATTTTTAGTGGCTGGGCTTATTTTACTTGATACTAACACTGTATTCTCTGCGTCCATTGTACTTTCGGTTATTTCGGTTATTATTAAAATTATTAAGGGCTTACGTAAAGTCAAATCACCCATTTACAATATCATTTAAGAGACTAATAAGACTAGGAGGGTTAAAGTAGTATTAAATTGTGGACTTTGTGGGGAAATACATTTAGAGATGTAGTACTGGTTAGATTAATTCTAACTATGTAAAACCTGTGCTGTACTCATCTATAAAACCGCACTAAATATTATTCTTCGTTTTGTCAATGAAAATATGTCCACTAAAATATTTTTTAGTTCAATTAATAACAAATTTTAAAATATATTATTGTAATGGTCGTTACACCCCTAAAATCAAACTGATCAAGCACATAAAAGACTCGGGTGGAAACAGTTATAACCATAGTTGAACTAAAAATATAGATTATAAATTATAAAGAAACGCTTTAAAGAAAAAAGTACGATGACTCAAGGATTGCTAATCTGAAATATGAGCTACAGCCATTTTTTCTCCGTATAAAATAATTATGTTTCTTTTCAAGAAGGGTTATATTACATGAAATTAATTACTGTTAGTAAGTAATACTTGGTGTACAATGCAGTTTTCTGCTTGCAATATTGTGCGGAGCTTACTGGTCAACATTTGGTTCACTTCAATGTGATGTCTATTTGAAGTAAACCCAATAAACAGCAAACTTTCGTATTTAAGTTAGTTTGAAAGTTATTTTTTTAAATATATTTTTAACGTTACTAATACGATTCAAAAAAGTCCAAAGGTGCTGACAAACATACATAAAGCATACATGAAAATAACAGTTGAGGTAGAAAATCACACCAAATTGTCTACCGAGGTTAGAATGGTTGTCAAACACGCAACAAAGAAATAAACACTTCACCTTAGCCAATGTTAATGTAGAAAACAACAAAAACTACTAGACTAAAATATCATTTGCCAAGTTCAATCTTTGAAATGTACTGTAACGTAGTTTTTCGCACTTAAAAGTTGTTTTATAGTGACTTACAGCTTAGGTCTTCCAATATTTAAATTTGGTTATTTTAAATTATTGAGCTACAAAATGTATCGAAGTTTCAATATTGTTTCTGGCAGAAAATCATTTTAAATAGCATACCCACAAACCCCAAAAAACTCCACTTGAATCAACACTACTTAAATTTTACATAATCCCTTCTTAGATCTTACAAACTTAAGCTTCTTTGTTTTTGTATGTACAATATGATTTGTTGACATGGAATATTGTAATATTTCTATACAAATTATTTCACGAGTTAAGTAGACAAAGTTGATTTAAAAACAGAATTCGTATGCAACGTGACTATTTTTATGTAAAAATAGCTTCTTTGCAGTAAAATATTTTTGTTGTTGTTAGTTTTTTATGCGATCAATATTTTGCACAGGTGATTGAAAATTAATGTTTTGACTGATCATTGATATGGTTAAACTATTATGTCTTTAAATACCTTTGATAAACTGTAAACAATTCAAACTGTATTAATAATGGATAAATTGAAGACAGTATTAAGCTTTTAGGTCTAAAATATTGTTATGAATTGTCACAATTGGCCATTACATGTTTAAACAGCAGTAAACATACTAAACTACTTTGTGCCTACCAATAAATTACATTGTTTCGTCCGATGTTCCTTTGACATTGATTTGGGCCATGGAATTGTAGTAAAGCCTTTGTAGGTTCGTCTCAAGGTCTATAAACGCAGCTTGTTTCAGAGTGACGTAAAACAAGTTACTGTGGTTTAATAAGGCCTTGTTTGGATTCAAAGTTTTGCCGGTGTTGAATTAACGAGGTTCATAAAAAAAGGTTCATAATTAATAAGAGGTTCATATTAAATATCTCGAACATATTATTTGTTTAGTTTCTAATGATCAAACGTTTGTAATTAAGTCTTAATTTAATGGTACACCTATTATTTTTTTAGCTAGGAATAATTGATAGTAGCAGTTATTCATCGAGCTATTAAATAATAATACCCCCGCCGCAGTAAACCTGCCGACTAAGCAGATTTCCATTTGTCTGAATTGATTTTCAACTAAACCTTTTATATAACATTAGTTTTAATGAGTACCCTAGGTTTGCTGCTACAAGGAAACTAATAAAGTGTACTTTTTAGTAAAATATTAATGGCTTAGTATAAAATAAATACATTTGCCAAGTTTGATCAAAATATATTCATAAACAAGCAAACTACAACATGTTACAATATTCTCCATGAGAATTTTAAATTTACAATTTATTAAATTTTCTCCGTTATAATAACTGTACAAAAACACTTTGGTATACTAAATTATTTGTTTTTTAAGCTCTTTAAAAAGGTCTAGAGATAAATTAGGAAATTTTGTGTTTTGAGGGTCAACAATGGGAAAAACCATTTTTTTACCCCATAAAACCCCCGTAAAACCCCGTTTCCATGGTCCGATCATGCTGGTTCGCGAACTCATTCAAGTTTATCCCAACTTACACCTTTAAGCCAAATTTCATCAAAATTAGACAAAAAATAATTAGACAAAGTTATCGCGTTCACGGAATTTATATATATATAAATTTGAACGAATGGTGTTTTTCGCCTCTGGGACATCAAAATGAAAAAGTAAATCGGTCCCGGGCCTAGGTCTCACCGTGCCACCTACAGTAATAGCTACACGGTACGGTTCTCTATAGGGAAATTCGCTAAAAGTAGACACTTACATTTGCAGTACATTGTACTGCCAAGTAGGGTAAATTTACTTTTATACCATGTAGAGTTGTGCAGAGTTTGGTTTTCCTTGTGTAACCCATTAAAGTTAATTGTAGGTGTCTGGTATAATTTTGCCCTACCCTGTATAATTGTAAAAGACAAATCAACCGAGGACTGAAAAATATTGGTTGGAACTGTTTTTTTTTTTTTTTTTTTTTTTTTTTTTAAGTGCCATGTTACTTACATACATTTGATCACAAAATAAACCTGTGTTTTTTTATTGTGATGCTAAAAGTATTATTTAAAAGTTGAACATTAACTTATTATTACAGTTCATGAGGCGTTGGAACACTCAGTGTATATCAAATCAATGAGTCGATCATATGAAAGAAAGCCGTTTTTATTCACACACTTTCAGAAAAGTAAAATTACACATGTATGTTCTTGGTATCCCACAAAACATTTATAATTAACATTTTAGGAGTACAACATATTTATCGAAAACCATCTAGGGATTAGTTTTAACAATGAATACAAACCCTGTGGTTTTAACAATGATATTCCAATTTTCTAATTATTTATAACATGCTATATTACTCATTTGCAAAAGTACACAAAGAACATCTTGATAATGGTAGTTCCATATCCAAGATAAGGTTCTTTAAATAATATATGAAAATACCAAGTAATTGAAGTAGTTGTATAGCAAGCTATTATAATAATTACGAGTTGGGAATGTTCTTGGGCTAAACTGAAGAGGAACTGTTTTGTTTTCAGTACATAGCTACACTATGCAGGTTGTTGTAGAAGGGGTTGGCGGGCTGCGTGCACAACTGTTGTGTTACACATCTGTTTGGCAGCTTCATGGGTAGAATGTGGTAGTCCACTTCAGGCAACCCCTGTTCTTTGATGATTTCCTGGATCTTCCGCAGACATGAAAGTCCAATAGGTTTGCACTGTGGGGAAACGCCAAATACGAAGCTTGGAACTTCAACTAAAACATAAAAATATTATGACTTGTTTTAAGTAAACAACTAACTAGGGCAAAACCATCCCATAAGGATAAAATTCAGGATTTTCATTGAAATGAAAGGAAACATATATTTTCCTAAGGTTGCCTACATGCGAAACATAAAGTTAGTGACGTACATGGTTTATAATTTTTTTTTACTTAAATAGTAGTTCTCCTACCTCCAAACTCATTACAACGATATATGATGTTCGTGTCGCATCCAGCATAACCAACAGCAAAGTCACGAAATGTGTTCAACGTATCTGAAAATAAAATTATCTTTAAAACAAAGTATGTTCACCATTTGGTAAAAAAAAGACTACTATGAAACAATCATCACATAGAAACACGCAAATGAAATTCGAATTGAATAGGGATATTATAATTGTTTGAAGTATCATCCACTGGACCCATCTTACTGTTAATTGCATTGATATTTGGAAGCGCTGTAAGTAATGAGATAATGCATGAGCCGTTCATTTTCAATTATTTATATTTTATAGTTATGTTTGAAATGGTAAGGCGATTATGCCACTATGCAGTCTACAGCCATTCACAGGCAATTTTAATGAGTTATACTCACTTGCAACTATAGCCTGGCCAGGAATCACGTCGGCGCCAATGTACGACTGAACGTCATACGATTCGTCACAGCTGAAACGAAAAGTTACATTTAAACATTTGTTGTTCTTAATAATAAGCGTAATAAGTAACAACAATATTTTAGAAACTGATATAGTTTTGGTTAAAATCTTAATTTAAATATAACAAAAAATATCACTACAGATTATTTATAATGAAATAAATTAACAGTTAAGGCATATTTTAAACTAACACAGATAAAATGACACAGGAAGTATATCAATAGAGTACCATGAATAGCTCAAGCCTGATCGATGAAGTACACCAGAGGTCAATAGTGATTTTAATAGTCACTCAAAGTGTACATGATTCAATATACACTTTATTGGCAGTGAACAGTTTATTTATTTGAGCAATCCTGTATATTTTTCCTTTTCTGCTCCATTACTATTTGATATAATTAACTCTTAGATATTTAAATTGGTCAGCAATTTTAAAGTTATGTTCATCTATAATAATAGTGTTTGCTCTTATTTAATATGCTCTTAATTAATCTCGTGAAGGGCCTGAATTTAGTCTTGTCATGATTCATTTTTAGGCTATTTACTCTTAGTATGACACTATACGAATTTTGTTGTATTTTTTTCATTTTTCTTTTGGGTGTTTGTAAAAGACTTAGTACGTATACTTACTAAACACTAGCAACATGCAACGTGAACGTGTTGGGATCGTCGGGTAAGGGGAAGAATGTTGCGCAAATGTTGTCCAACATCTGGTTTTCCTCAGTTTTTGGGAGAAATACGTTAAAAATAGGCTGATCACAATATTCCTGTAATTTAAAGTGTTTATTCAATATATAAATCGTTCGTATAATACATGGTTTCGAAATAAAATAATAACTTGTCATTTTTATAGGCTGTTGAGGTTTATTTTGATTATTCTATAAAACAATGATAATACTGAATGGATTTGCATTAGATTTGCTTTAATAGAAGTGAAAGCCAGTTGAGCGGAGCCAGGTTTCATAGTGTTTAATAAAGCAATGAATTAAAACAATATTTATAGATATAATACAACTATTTCATCAATTTTACTTATCACTTTGTCTCAGAACTATCCACATCCATAACAAGTTTCATAAGTAAAGATGTAGACATTACATACATATCTTTTGTATTGGTATTTTTCCTGTGTTTGCTTGCTAATATCATCTAGTGAATGCACAGTTCTGGTTGAACCCATCGATGTATAAAACCATGTTATGTTTATACTCAATGATCAAACTAACTGGATTGTGCGCAGGCTGTAGCTGTGTATCGTGGTTGTCGCATGAGTGAATTGAAGGCGGCATGTGGGATCTAGCGCGAAACCGACAATACTGAAGCCACCTGATCATTGGCACACGTGCGTGGTTAAAAAGGTTAGAAATATAAATAAACATGTTACAATAACCTGACCAGACACCTAATGCTTATCGTTTGATTACAATCATTAAAGCTCTGTTATGAGCTCCAGCGAATTATATTAAGTAGTTGGAGATAGTGATGAAGCCGATGATATAGAATGTATTTCATACATGTTAGAAGGCATAGGAGAAGTCTTCTTACTATAAAGACGATGCACTGCACTGTATTATATATGTGGTTTTGTTATTCGAAAGTTAGATCCTAAATTGAAATAGGAAGAATGCAGTATTGTAAGCTTTTATTAACTGGCGATTTAAATCAAAGCCCTTACACTAATTTCACTGATTTAGTATCAAAAGGAAATTAAACAGGGTTTCGTCAGATGTACAGAAAACTTTCAAGTTCATGTACAATCAAATTGCTTCATATTCCAAGGATTGGCAAACATTTTACTTCAAAACCTATTTTAAAACATGTAGGACCTTTGCTGGTAACGTTTTTCTTAATCATAAAGGTAATAATAAAATCGGCAAGGAAAGCCATGACATGAAATTAATCAAATTAATTGGTACTAGTGTACCTGTTGCTCGAATTCGAGCAATTGCGAAGTATTACAGACGTTATTTTAATACCCGATGAGTCGACTCAAAGATTATGGAAATACTCACGATGTACATAACTGTTCGTTATACAATCAATATTTCTTGTAAATATATCTTATAATTTTTCAAAAGCTGATTTTGTTTTTTAGTATTTTCTACTAATGTTTCCCGGTCATAGCCACATTAGGTTCTCCATAATAACGATTATATTTTTGTTCCTTATCGCTACTTCTACTTAATGGTGTCCTATGTTTCCATAGTTTGCAAATCGGCTCTTTCAATGATTGCTCAAGAAATGCAGCGCAGTGTTAATTCAGGTTTTAGTATATCAAATTTTCCAGGCTTTCTCGTTTTTTTTTCCATTGTAATATTTACGCCAAACCAAATTCAAATAGTAAATATTTCATTTTAACCAATTTCCTTAAATTTCAACTAAAATATTAACAGCAATTAAATTATCCAGCTGACCATAATGTAAACAAATGTGTTCTTCATAAGGATAACATGGGCACTTTAAAAGCCACTGTGGCAGAACCCAATGGACTTTTTCAAAAATGTAAGGTCAATTTGCAAATCTACACACCTAGACGAACATTTTGGAATATAATATGCAAGGTTAAACCTTAAAACAAAAAAGCCTTTACAAAGATTCATGTAGCGTTTTAATAATATGGATTCTGTTTAGCAAAATTATAAGCTACAGCATTTCTAAGCGTAAAACAGCACAAGCTTCCCTGTCAAAGCTTGTTATGCGCATAAGTTATATAAGATTATTCATTTAGCAATTTTTAGGCTAAATATGTTTCTTTGTTTTACAAAGTTTCCTTAATAAAGTGTTTGTTATACAATCTCACCTTTTTCTGACTAAAATCTTACCCCAGAGTATTTTGTATTTTATGAGAAACTGATAACACCCATATTAACAACTATTTTCTATTGTAACATTTAAACATGATTTTTTTCGTTAAAGTAGTAAGTGAAGAACAAATTCATAAAAGTTTCTTCGTTGTAATATTTTATTACTTTTATTCCACCAGTTCAAACAAAAAATAGGAAATTTAAGTTATATTTTAACAGAAACCTCGGTGTGAAATATCCACCGACAGTTGATATTTATTAATTGTGGTCCCCAAACTTGGTTATTCACAGTGTTATTTTTACATTTTTATTTCTTGTACAAAACTTCGTGAAAATGATTATCAAAATGTCTTACAACGGTTTGGTGGAGCGTACGGGGCTGAATGAAGTGCATCGTCTCTGACCGCGACAATACTAGATGTGGCCACAGAAAACATACTACTATGGTAGTATGGTGATTTGCTATGGTAGTATGTTTTACTATGGTGATTTGCTATGGTAGTATGTTTTACTATGGTGATTTGCTATGGTAGTATGTTTTACTGTGGTGATTTGTTATGGTAGTATGTTTTACTGTTGTGATTTGCTATGGTAGTATGTTTTACTGTGGTGATTTGCTATGGTAGTATGTTATCTGTGATGTGGCGCAGCGAGACACTTAATCCCACATGATGCCTGCAAAATCTAAAACGCAACCCTGGCCGTTAGCTCGGGTTGAGTTAGTTAGTTAGCCGATCAAGTTAGTTAGTTTTATACATCGATGGTTGAACCCAACCTTGAACCTAACCAATTGACATTTTGTCAATCTTGGCCAGATTTTAAAATTCAGGCAAAAATAACCCTGCATGGATCCATACGATTAGCAGATGTGACTTTTTAAAGACTCCTGTTTTGGGATAATCACACAAATAATTTTCACCATAAGGTTTGTTTTCTTAAATTATGTACATTTAACATAGTTATGAAAAACATTGTTTTAAGAAATTGTTCTACATTCAACGATCACAAAATATTGCTAGAAGTAACTGTTTGTGCGTTTAGGGCGTTTATTGCTCGTCTTCATTTACTACGAATTTCAGACAGTTTTTGAGAATGCATTCTAAAAATTTCCTTAATATGACATTCTCATGCGAATTAGGTATTTTCTAGTCAAATGAAAACACAAAAATTACTCTATCCTTACTTACTCGGCTAATTCTATACCCCAGGAAGTTGCCAACACTACAATCAATATATCAAGTGTAATCAAATTCAATGTAGCATTATGGCAAGTGTGGTGCCAACACCCTGGTATCATAACAAATATTTCAAATTTTAAAATTGTTAGGGAAGTATAGAACACATTGTTTCAACTCAGTGGCAGACCGCGTATCTTGTTGGTATAACCAACTTACATAAATATTAATTTAACAATTTAACAATATTCTTTATTAGTTGAATAAGCTTACACTTCCACATTAAACCTCATGCATTATATGGAGTTTAAATTTCACAATAGAATAAGCAATTCACTTGCACTTTTTAAAGTAAATAATAAGAAAGCATGTTAATATTTGCCTATTTAGATCAAATATTGATTTGAAAATACCTAGTTATTTAGAACTGCATAATCATGTGGGTAGTTGTTTTAATTCCTAATTACATAAGATAAATGTTATTTTCTATAACCTTATTTAGCTACATAAATAAATCTGTAAACACTGTACCTATTCGATCAGTGGTTGTTTCCAATTTGTGACTTAAATGTAAACTTAATACTTTCTCTGCATTATTTGATCAGTAGTTGTCAATAAAATGTTTTTCCATTAATTTGTATGGTGATTACGTCGTGGCTTGATATCAACATTTTATTATACTTTTTGTTGTTTACAATACATTTACGTTTTTATTTTGTAACCATCATGGTAACCCATAAAGCCAATGTTAAAATTCAAAAACTTTGAGTTACGTTTAAATTTATACATTATCAAAAATGGAAATTGGTTTCGTCTTAACCATCCAAACATTTGTCAAAAAACCGCGGTAAGTTTGGCTAAAATTTGTTTAGCTGTTATTGAGTTTTAGTGTTAAAAGTTTGCATGGAAGTTCATCCTAAAGAGCTTCACTTCGTTCCATTCAATTAAATGTATTATACAAAATTACTTTAGAAACACTTTTTTTTAACTTGTTTAAGCAATGCTTATAACAATCAGAACTATTTTACCACCTCAGAAATGATCTAAACATCAAACTTTTGACGTTCTCGTGCGGTATAAATATTTTATTTCATAAGAAAAACAATCAAACATAACTGAAAGTTAACTAAAGATTTATCTATAGCTTTTATGAGCCTATTATGCATGTTACCTTAAAAAACGACGATAGAAATATTTAAAGAAAACAAAATTAGTAGATATTTCTAAGGTCATATTATATTGTTATGTCCTGACCTGGCGTATTGAGTAGCCTATTGTTTCTGGCGCTACACATTGAGAGGAGCTTCCGTGAGCTACTTGTAGATGGTAGTTGATTACTACTAGTAGCAATGGTAGTCTCTTTAATGACGACATTGATAAAAATACCTGCAAAGTAAGATGATTAAAGGATGAAAATTTAGCCGTATTTCCTTACAAAAGATACTTCTTCAGTAAGTAAAATCAAATCTTAATATTGATGAATATTTCAGATGATAGAATTATTGTGTTAAAACCATAGATCGTTTTCATATCAACCCCTGGATTTTATTGGCTCCTTCTGAGCACTCCAGGAAATCAGTTTTATTGTGGTTAGCTCTAGGGGTAGGCCAGATCTGAAAATATAGTCACCCCATATATAATTTAATTTACACTTTTACTAGGTCACACGCTGTAAAAATCATTAAGGAGTTATTTTAGACAGTTTCGGCAGAGGTTTTATGTAATATTCATTAAAATATAATAGAGAAAAAATATTAAAATCTGTATTGTATTATTACCTTTAAATCTATTATTATAGTCCATTAATTTACCAATTCCTCCAATATTAAGTTATCCTATATTATCATTTTAAAATCAAGGCTAGTTGAATAAGTATATTATTTGTAACTTTGAAAGCAAAATAGGTACTACTAATTGTGGTTTTGGACTTTTTGAATATGTTTGTATAGACTACTCAGAAAGCCATGCTTTTTAAAAATATAAATAGTAATTTAAAGTAATTATTTTGAAAAAAAGTGGATATTAAATTGCATAAAAAGCAAATTAAGTATGTATATAGTTAATAAATCTTTACCGAATCCAGACAGATTCTAGTTTTTTTTTTTTTTGCTGGATTTAAATGTTTAAATAATTGAACCACACAAATGAGAAAGAAAACCAACGTCTTTAGGTGGACATATTTGCAAAGTCAGGACAATATTGGTGGTTTATTACTTGACTTTATATGACATATGCCCCAATCAATATTTTAAAGAAATTTAAGATTTATCCAAGCCAATAAAAGCAAAACGAATGATCACGTAACAATGCCGTATCTTGTACTTACGGTAATTGATCAAACTCCTTCTAACAACACTGCTGCTTCACACATACACTACCCTCTGAGATTCAAACAGTAAAATACATTTTAAAATGGAATGTTCAGTGTTATTAAGTACACTATTGTTCAACCACCACATTTGCATCGACAACGTATCACTAATTGATAAAAAACACTTGTATCTAATGCTTGTTCTTCTTATCAACTTTTTGCAGGCTCTTATCAGATATTCTTATTATCTTATTTATTTTTGCAATATGACATTACGTACGAGGTTCTAATGTTGTGACACGTTTTTTTTTAGTTAACTAAAAGAATGTATCAAATGCTTTATGTTGTATCAAGAAATATTAACATTATTCAACATCTCAAACTAAATACATTTTACATGGACTTACCCTCCTTACCAATCCCAATCAGTTAACTCCGTATTTTACGGATATCTTTAAGGATCGAAGAGCTGATGGTCTTGAAGGAACTGCGCTGATGGTCACAACGTCTTTGTGTCTGTTTGTCCGCCGTTGTGTCTGTGACGGCAAAATGCCAATTTACGCGGTATACTCTGAGTGAACTAGGGTGGCTATCAAGATTCAAATCGTTTCACTGTATTCACTCATTTGGTTAGAAAGTATTTTGCTATTTAAACATTACCTAATTACTTTGTAAATAAAATTACAAATGTTAATATACCCAGTGTTGTGCGATGTTGTCACATTGTTTCCTATTGTTTACTACTTACGTCAATTATAAAATATCAATCATCAGTCTAGATAATACGTCGTCTATTGAATAACGAACACCTGTTTGGATAAAGATTCTTTCTTAAAACTGTAATTGATATGGTTACATAAAAAGAAGTTTAAACAAATTGTTATTTTCCTGATTACGCATTGTGAGCAAATCCAGAAAGTGAAATTAATAATCTTTTAACATAAATAACGGATTTAATTGATCGCAAGTACAATACTTTGTAACCGTAAATTGAATACAATGAATAGGTATTATCTATACCGGAAAAGCTGGGGATTCTCCATATATCAAATTATACAGTACTTGAGTTTTAATGGCTGGGAAAAGACAGTGAATCAGTTGTGTATAGGACTGGGAAACTTGTTTTTTAGTAATTATCACCAATAATCTACAATCGAGGCTTCCATTAATTAATCATTAACGGCGTTTTGACAGCTGTTGTGGCAAGTAACAAATCACAACTGCAGTGGGTGATCACGGATGTTGCTGCGATCTCGGGTAGTCTTTACGATGTCGTTGTGATCGTATCACAGGTTCACGAATGCTGGGATAATCGTCTTTTCAATGTGTAGATTTCTTTTTCTAACTCATCACTATTGCGTCACCATCACTGGATCGTAACGCAAATAGGCCATTTGTTCATCTCCTATTGGTACTTAGGTACCTAATTATCCGTGACCACATTTCGACGTCGGTTCTCGGTACCGGTGCTTTTCTCAAAAGCAAGCATCATTTTTAGGTACCCACACCCCTATTTACAGCATACTTACCGTTGGTGTTGCACCTTTCTTACAGTAATAAATTTAATCGTTTTCCTACTGTAATGCATTTGCGTAATCAGGAGAAAAGTAATGTTTAACTATTGATCAAAATAATTACTGTATTTCAGTATGTAGATCTGTCTTTTTTCTTTTTATTTGTATTTATTTATTAATTTCTTTTCATTTATGCATTTATCTTTTGAGCACATTAGCGTGACTAAGTAACGAGAATGGTAATGCTTATTTCAGCAATAAAAGTGTGATGAACCTATTTAAAATCGCATTGAAATCTTTGTTTGTTAAGCATCCTTCGTTTTGTAAAAACTTGACATACAAAGTGTTAACAGTCTCACTTACAACAACAATCAACCTTTAAAAAGGATTGATAAAATATTTCTTTTATATACTTCCATTAAAACTGAAATAAATATCATCAAAATGCAATCCCATTTAATGCAGCCTCTTTACCGGTGGGCGCGTCCACTGTAGGGGTTGTTTATTACACTGGTTTATTCAGATTAAGCGGGTTGAGATGTAAGCCATGCAGACTGAATGAGCAGTGAATGCAATACAGCTTTGTGGATTTGAGGTGGAATAATACCATTATACACTATATGACTCGTTATGAATGCATACTGTTATATATATCTTTTAATTCAAAGAAATAACTAACTTGAACAATAGTTCTATTAGTTGCTTGAGAGGGTGAACTAATAAAGTACACTAGAATGTTAGCTGTTAAACCGTACGGAGTTAAAAAAAATTCAACTACATTAAAATTAATTTAACATCTAACGTTGATGAAGGGAAAATCCTAAATAAATTTAAATATATGTTATAAACAGCACAAGAAATCAGATAAATACGAAACACACATTCTTTACTAACTAAATATAAACTGAACAAATTTACTGCTAACAAAATGAAAAATTAAATACCAACGTCAAGAGGGTAAAACATGAATAAATCCACAAAATTACCATTCAAATCACAAATGTTTTTATTCGCGGCAAACTTGTTTATGCTGTGATCTATGTCACATAACCCTGTGATTGTATATAATAATTAATGTATTAATTTAAACAATTAATGTATTAGGCTATTCTTCTCTATAACGAATAAAAAAGACATTGCCGAGAGCCTCTATAACGAGGAAGATAAATTTGCAGGGAAACAATCTACGTTTAAATTACTGCATTGCCTTCAGACATAAGATTTTATTAACGCTGTAAAATTACAAGTGTAATTCTTAATCAAACGCTAAATAACATAGAGTAATTAACTAATCAAACCTAATAACTGCCGGTGTTTTGCTTCATTATTTCTTCAGTTTGAGTGTTAGAGAGAATATGAAAAACTGCAATGGTTATTCGTTAAAATGTAATCAAAAATGGTTTAAATCTTCAAACCCTAATTTTAAGTACGTGTTACACAATAATTTAAAGAAAGTCCGTCAGAATTAGTAAATCATATTTTATTCGCCCTATTAATTAAAGCTAAAATCAATAATTCAGAATTATGTGTTCGTACAGAAGTATAAGTAAGAATAAGTACACTCATTACAAAATTTGAAACCAATATAAAGTTAAACAACATTAAGTCATACGTTAAAAGCTTCAAAATTGGTATTGCTACAGTGTGAGAAAGTAACACCAAATCTTCTGTTTAAGTTTGATTTAACAAATAGCTTCGTTAAAAATTAGCTTTATAGCTTATCAAACCTTAAAATCGGTGATCAATAATATGTATAGCCTCATTGAAAATATCCCTCTTTTTCTGTGTTTAGGTTATTTATAAAAACTACATTAGCCGTTTACATAGCAAATCTTGAAAACGGTAAAAATGAAAAAAATATGCAAGAAACCAGTTGTTAACGTTCATCACACAAAACCACAGTCGAAGCGAAAATACACTCTTAATTAATAAAAGAATGTAATTTAACATCTTACCACCAAAAAGAAAATATTACACTTCTATCGAGAAAGTACATAAAGGTAGCGGTTGAATAATTAAGATTTCTTTATAATGGTGTGCTCATTCCAAACCCATTATCGATGGATTTCCATTTAAATTCATGAACTCATTATAAGCTGTTTATCAGGCTTTAAGATTAATGAATTATCAATTAGGTTGTTTTAAAAGAATGACTTTCATATAAAATAAGTATCTGAAATATAAAATCAACATTTTAACTCGTGACATGCTGGATATATACTTAATTTGTATGGATAATCTTTATTCTACATATATGATTTAGACAGCATTAAATTGTTTGAAAACCTTTGGTGTTAAATACTTTTATTTTTTTAAAACGTTTTTATTAGGTCGCTTTCTTGTCCGCTACAAATTTTGCAACCGATTTTATACTAACTTCCCGATGAGCTAGGGACTTTAAACTTGAAACATATCTCACAAATGGAAGACAATGCAATATTATACAATTTAATTTTCATATTTCCCTTGGGCTACGCCCCATGGGCTTGTTTTTATTAAATCGATTTCTTGCAAATTTTGATACTTCCCGATGAGCTAGAGACTTGAAATTTGAAACATAGCTCACAAATGGATGACATTGCAATATTATATCATTTAATTTTCATATTTCCTTTCGGGCTACGCCCCATGGGCTCGTTTTTATTAGCTCGCTTTCCTACAAATTTTGATATCAATTTTAAACGATGTTCCCGATAAGCTAAAGACTTGAAATTTGAAACATAGCTCACAAATGCATGACAATGCAATATTATATAATTTAATTTTCATATTTCCCTTGGGCTACGCCCCTTTGGCTTCCAAATTTTCCATGTTTACATTTTAAAAGAATGTAAACATATAAATTAATTTAAGTCAGCTGTAAATACTTTAATTTGACAGTTAGAAGAGCAGAGGTTAAGAGGTACAGGTTCTGCTCCCGAGATATTCTAAAAATATAAAACAAACATTTCAAAGTAAAGATAAAACATCTGATTACAGATAATAAGGTTTTATATAAAATAGATTTAACATATTTACACATTAAAGACTAAAAACTAGATAATAATTTATAAATAAAAATACTTTTTAAAAATAACACGTTTTTAAACGCACTAAAAAGTATAAAATAATTTATAAAATGTTGAGAGAATAAATACTTGTAAGATTTAAAACGAAAAACGTGGGGCGCATGCTGATTTACAATTAACTTCACCTATTGAACTATTATGATATATTGCATGCGCCCCACGTTTTTTGTTTTAAATCTTACAAGTATTTATTCTCTCAACATTTTATAAATTATTTTATACTTTTTAGTGCGTTTAAAAACGTGTTATTTTTAAAAAGTATTTTTATTTATAAATTATTTACATTTAGTTTTAGTGTCTTTACACACTTTTCCGTTTTATCTTTTAACGATTTAAATGTCGTAGAAGAAAGTTGCGGTTATTTGCATTACGATTTACGATACGATTGTTCAACACTGTCAAAGACTTACTGGGAAAAGTTTATTTGAGTTTTTTTATAAGAGCATATAGGCTTTTAGGGATAAGTTGGAACATAATCCTAGCAAACCGTTCCCCATAAAAAGGTAGC